TAGGTAACAGAGCTAAAGATGTCATCACCCCATACAGTGATGCAGCATTTGCCACTGAGACTGAGAGTGTGAAACTCTCTTGTAACTACACTGGTTCTGTTGATAGTCTTCACTGGTATCGGCAATATGCAGGTTCACCACCACAGTTCCTCATTCTGGATTACTATGGAGCAACTACTCATGCTAATCCTCCAGTTTCTGGAATATCCATCAGTCACAGAAAAGAAGAGAACAGTGTGGATCTGATCATCTCCTCTGCTGCAGTATCAGACTCTGCTCTCTACTACTGTGCCCTGCAGCCCACAGTCACAGGAAACACTCTACACACCATACAAAAACCTGACTGACTCTATAGTCTTAAAATGAGATGTCAAAAACAACAAACATCATAAATGTTACATTCTAATTCATATTTAACTATACATTTTCTGGCTGGTTAGTATTTCTATGTATTGATTTAGTAAAGTCTCATTATTGAATGAGATCATTGCTGGAGTATCACTATATAACTATGTTCTTAGATGTTTCGTCATATTTGAAAACATATCAATAAATAAAGTCAACATTTATCATCCTTTATATTTTTCAGATTCACAAATGTATCATCCTGGTTAGACTCAGATGTTGTCAATGGGAGCATAAATGTTTGTCACACCACAACTAGGGGGTGCTGTGTACATTCAAATATTTCAGAGAGGACAAATTTAATGCTGCAAGCACAAACCTCACTATCAAATATTGAATATTTAAACTCTACCAAAAAGGCTCTACTTGGTTTAGCTTTAAATGATCCTCATATTAACATAATAAACATAGTCACAGTCGCACTTGCTGATAAAACTGAATTAGTAGAGGGAGATACTTATTGAACAAGCGGTAGAATTTTTAAGATATTCATACACTGAAGGTACAATCATCTCAGCTTTTAATAAGGGAAAACAAAGAAGGAGGTCTAAATAAGCCACACCCACACTGCAACTTCACACTACAAGATACTACAATCACACAATTACCTTTAAACTTCAGTTTATAAAGCCTAGAGCATGAAGTTAGTAAATCTTGGAGAGATGGAGAGATGCGTTCTTCTGATTCTAATATCCACTCCAGGTATAAAACATGTAATCTGAGCAGACTCAAAAATAATGTACATTAAAATGTTTTGGCCATGCAAACATTTTTTAATATTACCCTATTACTATAACGACAGCACATTTGTTGAAGAAACTGTTTTTATTATTTTAATTTTAATTTAAAAATGTTGTGAAATTTTGGGCAAGCCAGCTGACCTGTTGTGAAATCTCTCCAATTCTCTTGCAGGTATTTTATCTGACAGCATTCAACTGAAAGACAAGGAAACTACTATTTACAGAACAGAAGAAGAGCGTGTAACGCTGAGCTGCACTTATGATACAGGCAGCAATTATGTCTATCTCTACTGGTACAGACAGTATCCTAATAGAGAACCAGAATATTTACTGTATAAAGGTGCCCGGACATGGAGCAGTCGGGGAAATATACCAAACACTCGGTTTCAGTCGATTACATCAGAAACATCCACTGAATTCACTATTAAGAGTGTAACTCTGTCAGATTCAGCTCTCTATTATTGTGCTCTAAGAGTAGCAGCCCAGTGATACAAAATGCCTGAGAAGCTTTACAAAAACTCACATGTAGTTTTTGCCTTTAAAAATATTATCAAATAAAAATTAAGCCACAATCATATTTTGCGTAAAACCACAACACTTCACAAACACAATACTGTAACACCTGCTGGAAGAAAAAAAATGTGTGCTTAGGTGGAAAGTATACAGGAAGATGATAATTCATTGTTTTTGTCATGCCATAATAAACCTTCCTACAAAATAAACTCTGAAAATATTGTTTTCAATGGGGGGATAAAACATTTTTTAATTCTGTCAGCAGTATGTCTAAACTGACTAAAAGTAAGAGACCAAAATATAGAACAACAAATGTTTCAATGTCTCTTTAATACATTCTGTCTGCAACAAACATCAGGCTATTAGTGGTACTACAGTAAAACTCCTGACCTGCATGTTAATATCTGTCATCTAGGCTTCAAATGCTATTTTATCTATTATAGACTGCAACATAAAGGAGAGGAGTTAATCTGAGATGTCCTCCTTTACGTGCCAAAGAATGAATTATTCAAGCCTCAAGCGTGTGACGGAAATGTTACGCCCCTTACCATATGGTGATGCCCTGTCCGGCCGGAGTGTAACATAAAACCATGTCTGCATTTGTGATCGGAGAAATGCCAAACAACAAGTGTTACTCTACACTGGCCAAAAAAACTCGCGTTTGAATCGTCAGTGGCAAATTCTTTAAATATAAAAAATGTACTTACAGTCTGTGAGTCAGAACAGCCGGCATTGTAGTCTACTCTCCCAGGATCAGGAAACAGTCCTCCATAAAATACATCATCTGAACACACATCTGAATATTTGAGTTAAACTGTTCTGGAACAGTGTTGTAAATACAACTTAACCACTGATTTCTAGGCGTGTCCTCTTTTGGAAGGCCAAACAAAGTAGTTTCGCTTTCACAATGAAAAAGCATCACACACCACGGCCTTGAGTGAGCGGAGGCCGGAGGCCTAGAGTGAGCCGCGGCCTAGAGTATGCGGA